TTCCCAGCATGAATTGTATCAATGATGCTATCAACATTGGACTTTTTTCAAGAGATCAAATTCCGAACCAAGTTGGATGTCCCAAGCCTCAACTCCGAAGCTGGTGTAGCTTACGAGACAACCTCGAAGAACCCGAAAAAAGCTCAAGACATACTTGAGTGCGCGAGGGATTTGGAACTGCCCCCCGAAGCAATGAATTCACACCCTTCACAGCTGCTTGGGAGGCAACCCTAACACACCGGCGACTTGATTGTGCAGATGAACCACGGCAGACAGTGCCTGTTTCTGCACCTGCTGAGGCAACATTGTGAAACGCTGCATGACCATGGCATGTTTTTCGTATCAAAGCATGCTGCTGTCTGCAGCCCATCGGCCCCGGTGCTTGACCTCCAGCTGGGTCCTGTACCCTTGTGCCCTGTCCCACGAAGCTCCTGAGTGCCGGAGCTGATACATGACCTAGCCTTCGGGAAGGTTCGCAAGCTTCATTGCGGTCAGCCATGCGTCCCTTAGATCGTGGTAGGACAAGTTGAAGAGCTGCAGACCCATGTGACGTCTTTTCAGAACCGCCAGTGCCTTTCCAAGCCAAGGAATCTCTTTGTTGTCCAAAATCATACTCTCGTCCTGCATGCCAACTTTTGACATCTCTAAGTCTTCGGTCTTGTTGAGGACAAGGGAGTACTGGGTTCCGAACACTGTGGTTTCGACCAGCTCGTGAGACTGCAGGATCAACAGTTCGAAAGGCCGGCAGTACGTGACGAACATTGTCAAAACAAATAGAGCCTGCTCTATTTTTCTCAGCTCCAGAAGTTTTGCCACAATGAGAGCCACAACCGGCCAGGCCTCTGGAGGCCTTGAGGTCCCTGGGTCCAAGTTCTTCCAGCCTTTCAGAGCACGGCGTGACCGTGCCAGAACATGTTTTGGACTCAGCTCTGGTCTGGCATCCATGATGGCTGCTAGAAACTTGGTGACTTCGTTGAGACCCATTCCATCCATGAAACACTGATTCAGAAAAATCACAAAAGCGGAGTCCACATTCTCGGGAGATCGAAGACTGAGCTTGCTCAGTTTGCAGAAGCTCTGAAACACCCCCAACCGAAACTGATAGTCCAGTGCCGTTCGGGGTGAGACCGCAGCCTGCTCTAAGAACGTCTGTTGCGAAGTGCGAGGGCAAGCGTTGTGACTCTGTGCTAAGGATCTTCTCTTCTCCGATCTCCCCTGCTCTGTGTGATCCTGAATCATTCTTCTCGTCTCGGCAGGTCTGGTCCAATGAGCTACTCCTTTGTATGGCTTTTGCGTCGCCTTCAAGACCTTCAAGGTGTTTCTCAAGTCTGACGAAGGCTTCGTTGTTTTTCTGGAGGTCTTCGACCTTTGGGTATATGATTGAGTCGACAAGCCTCTTTTTGCGCCTTTTGCTGAAGGTCTCTTCCGAGCTTTCATGGCGACGCGACGGCTCGTCCGCGGCATTATATTCACTAGAGTATTCACTAGGTATCCATCTATGGTGAAGTTCAAGATCAGCAGCAATACTAAAAGCAGCAATCCTTCTACATTGGAAAAGCAGTTGCTTGTTCTTTGCTCGCCCTCTGTCAAGGCTAAGTGTCATGCCAAGGTTGTCACAAAAATGCAAGTGTCTCGTGAAAACTAGACCAAGCCCTAGTCTTGTGCCGGAGTGCCTGAACTGAACCACGGCACGTCCTTCCAACAAAGTGATATGCTCAGGCATGTGCATCTTGCTAGAGAAAACAACTGACCAGGACTCTTTGTTCAAAAAACTCATTGGCACTTCCTTGAACTCGTCATTGATCACGAAGCAGTCGATCTCAGAGGAGCTCTTCTGCTTTTTGACAGTGGCAAGGTCTGTGAACGGGTCTGCTTTGGAGAAATGATCCCGTGCATTGTGAGCTGCATTTTTTGATTTGTACCGCCGCAACTCTCTTTGGGACCCCGTGTTGCAAACATCTTGAATGTCAAACTCAGCAGCACACACCCCGGTACCAGTTAAACTGGCATCAGAACACGTGACATGCCCCGTCCACCCTCGCTTCAGATCAGCGTGGCAGACGAGGAGGAGCGCCGCGGCCTGACGACATTCCAGTGCAGCACTCTCCCATAGAGGCACTGTTTGAAATCATAGACTGCCCGGAAAACACTAAGACATTCGCGACGTAGCATGAAGAAATGAACGCAATGTCCTATAACTTTCTCGATCATGCGGCCATTGACTCGGGGTTGAGAGCTGAGCCAAAGCAAGACCTTACGTACTTTGTCTCTTTTGATCGGCCTGGGGAGTACTCGCCCACCCACGCCATCCAAAAGAAAACCAAGGGCCTCGGCGTGTGGTTCTGCTGCTTGTTCTTCATGGGTGATGAATCCAATGGAGTTCAAATGCTCTGTTATCTTATCCTTGAGCTGTTGAACCTCCTTCTGACAAATGCCAACGATGTTCAGATTATCTGCGTATGGAACCAACAGTGTCGGCGTCGAACGATCGAGACGAGGCACTGGCCTTCCATCAACCACAACACGCTCCACACCAACCTGAGCGGCGAGCATGGCTTGGTATTGATGAGCCCGTTGTGCAATGTACATCGCCCAATTCCAATCCATTGGCACTACCTTCATCCTTGGGAACACGATCAACGGCCCGCTGGCCTGCCGGCAGAGAGGATGATCTGGCGCAATCGCATGAAGATCCACCTGCGGAAAAGCGAAGTAGGGACGTAGACCAACCGGTAGACCAATGGAATAGAAGTAGTCTTTAATGTCAGTTTGAGCAATGTAGAGGGTGTCTTCGTCGCTCATCTGCAACTGCGAAAAAGAGTACCCTGCTGGCATCGCAATGTCCGGCGGTGGTCTGAACACTTCATTAGTGGCACGACAATCCGGAACTAGTCGCAACTTGCCAGACTTCTTCACCACAAAAAAGGGGGTGACAGTGGAAACTCGTTCATGGCTAAAGTCAATCATGTTGCGTTCCCAGAGGTCTTTTATGAAGCGGTGATAAAGTTCAGGAGATTGCTTTAGTCTCTCATCCATATAAACTTTGGGAAAATCACTAGGATCAAGTTCAATGTCTTCTTTCAACATCGCAGAATCATATAGGCCTCGAGAAACCGCTTGCCCGTCTCATCCACCAGGTCGGCTGCATCTTTGATGTGAGCCCCAACCTTTGGCAGCGAAATGAGCCCTCTGTCATAAGGCCGAACAGTTGTCCCAACCCCTTCACCCGAGTCGTAAGGTGAGAAAGGGTTGACTTGCAGAAGCTCACCTACGGCTTCACGCATGGACATGCACTGACTCGCCTTGGGCAAGTTAGATACCTGCTTCAAAATGGTCTCATGGAGTGTTGTTGATTAGACGTTGGGGCCCCTGCTTTAGGCGAAGGAAAACCTGCCAACTGGTTGACAGTCTCAATCACCTCATTGGCCATGTTGAGGTTCTCATACTTTCGAAGCCTCCTCCGATAGGCCCCTGCTGAGAGCCCATGTTTTTCAGGTCGGGTGACCTGACACCTTCCATCAAAAGTGTCCAGAAGGGGGAGAGGAAGAAGGTCTCGATGTCGTTCCATGGCGGTCACTCTAAAGTAGGCAAAAAATGAATTTGCGAAAAACTGTAAAATCTCACCGTGACTTGTCACTGCTCCTCAAAAAATCTCTGCAGCTGAAACCAAGAGAACCACACAGCTTTAACAGATGTAGTCGCAGTCAGATCCAGTGCAAGATGAGGACACCCGCCTAAATCGTCCCCAGCGTTCCCGGCGGAAAGAGAACACTGGGAGGAGAAAGAATTACTTTCCCTCCGCGGCAGAGGACTTTTTGTCGCCTCCGCCGCCTTTCTTCTTGGTAGCCATCTCTTCCTTTGCCTTCCGAGCCTCCTAGGCAATGGCTGCTTGGTCCTTCAGTTCAGCAGCAACAAACCTAGCAAGCTCAGGGTGGACGCCGTCTCCACGTTTGTATTCCCATCCCATGAACACATCAGCACTGCTGTAATCCGGAGCCCCAGGAGAGATTCTGTGAGCTTCTCTGATCAGTTGCCAACGCCTCATGAGAAGTTCGATGCCTTTGGAGTTGGGGAGATTGAGCTGGTCAATCATGCAAAAGGCCTCAAGAGCACGGGTGATGACCTCCATCTCGTAGACAGATCAATCTCCTCTTGGCAGCTCGTGAGTCCTAACCCAATGCTCGTGGTCTGTCACTGGTGTGAGTCCTCGAGCCACCATGGACTTCAACACGCCCAACGTGGATGCCGGTCCATCCAACATCATGCCGCCACCCGGCATATCATCTTGAGTCATGCGGCCCACAACAGCAGCAAAGTCTTGACGTCTGTTGCCCTGCTGATCAAAAACCAAAGGCAAAGTTCGCAGATCCTTGACTGCCATACTGTTCACATCGCCCTTGCTAACCTGTTTGACTGCAAGTGCACCTGTTCCCATCGGGACCAATGCCTTGCTTGGCCCCAAAGTGACACTGCCGGCGGGAAGGGGAACATTCTCATCACAAATCACATCACCAATTTGCTTTCCAAACTCAGCTTCTAAAGACACCCACACTTTGGGAGCAACCGGAACCTGAGCAGGAGCAGCTGGCATCGCTGCATGCAAGCCAGGAGGCGGTAGCCCATGTTGAACTCGGTATTGAGCAGCATACAACCGAGCCCTCTGCATCAAGGCTTGGTATTGCTGCGCCGTCATAGGGCCAAACGAGTACACATCGGCTGGGTTCAACCCTGCTGGCAGCGGAGACCCCAAGCCCCCAAGACCTGGATGCATGGCCACCAGATCAGTGTTACGAATGTGAAGCTCTTCTTCATAGATGTCAAGGTCTGGAGTGATGATGGTGTATATATCCCCAGTCAGATGTGGTCCAATGAGTCGGGTATGGATGCATGGTGGCATTTCCCCATAGTCCACAAAGGCCAGGTCTCCCTCTACGAAGGTGTTCATAGGTCCAGCTGCAATGGGATCTGACTCCCAAACACTCCCTTCTTCTTGCCCTTACCCTTTGATGGCTCCCGGACACACAAAGGCTCAGGCTCTGGAATCACTGCTGCAAAGCGCCAACCGTAACAAGCCACCAGAATACCTCCAATGAGAACCCCAATCAAAGCTGTCAACAGGAGCTCTCGCAGCGAGGCCGCTTGGACAGGAGATGGAACTGGTGTGCTCTTAGTGTCGCAAGCACAATGACACGTCAAGGGCGGACTCTCTTTTTGAGGCTTCCAGTTCAATGCCGAGAGCCCAACCCCAATGCCAGCAACAAAGATTCCAGATACGGTCACCGGATCCATGAAACCACAATCCACCAAGAAGCTTGAGATCGGAAAATTTAACGGCATTTACGTGCTAAAGCTGCATCTCATTATCGAAACAAGTTTCTGGTCATATAGTATATATAAAGTGGAAGTGTTGACATTGAAATGATCCTCAC